ATTAATATATAAATATATAAATATATATATATATATATATATATATATATATATATATATATATATATATATATATATATCAATATATCAATATTATCCCCTCATATATTATTATACATTATTAACGTGATTTTAGTTTAATTAAAAATTAGAATACAAATATATTATATTATATTAATATACCATTATGTTATAATATTTGTAATTTATTTTTATAGTGTATAAATTACAAAACTAATAATTTGTATACTATACTATACTAATATATAATTTGTATACTATACTAATAGTATAATATACTATATTATAATATTATTTGTATACAAAACTAATATCTTTATATCTTTATATATAAATATATAAATATGGAAAGATATAAATATATGTAAAAATATAAAGATATAAATATATATATAAAATATAAAGATATAAATATATCAATATATCAATATATAAATATATCAATATATCAATATTTAAATATATCAATGTATTAATATTTAAATATATATTAAAATATATAAATATATTTTTATTTATAGATTTTATATTTATATATTTATACTGGATATACATTTATTTGTATATAAATATAATTTATTTGTAAGTTATTATTAAAAAATCCTAATAGCTTAGTGGTTGGAGTTTCAACCTCCAACTCTAAGGTACCTGGATTTGAATCCCGACAATGACAATAAACCTAATAATATGTTAAACTTCTAAAAAATATAATATAATTAAGAGTTAGGGGAAATATAAATCGGTCGCTATTTTTTTAAATTTGTCACCGATTTAGCGACCAATTTGATATATTAATTTCTAGTCGCTATTTTGCGACCGAAATGAAAATCAGTCGCTAACACATTAGCGACTTGGCTTTTTGCGACGACGCATTTCGGTCGCTAACTGATTAGTGACCAATTTTTTGACATTAGCAACCGATTTTTTTGGTCGCTAAAATGCTTTTTTTTGTAGTGTTCGCCTTCAGCTTTCAGATCCCGCAGAGAGTTTTCAATCACAGACATGATTGTTTATATGGTCCTTATTTGGGTTTAGATTTTATTTAATTATTTTGGAGTGAGAGAGAAAAGAATGAGAAGAATATGAAAATTATGAAAAATGCCTCGTTGTATTGATGAAAAGAGAAATATATACAGAGTCCCTTTAATCAAAAGATCTCGCGGCCACGAGCAGAGACCGCGAGAGATGCATCAGAAGCTTTTTTTTTATAATTTTTATTTAATGAGGAGCCCTAATCAGCTGGTCTTCCCCGTCATTCTGGTTGAGACAGAGGCGTGTCGTCCACCTAAGGGTCGGGAGCATTGAAAGTAATCCACCCGACATTCAGCAATTCTTGAACCCTATACTTCAAGGCCATACAATTCTCCACAGAATGTCCAGGAGCGCCCGAATGGTAATCGCAGTTCACATTAGGTTTGTACCATTCTGGGTAGGGTGGATACATCTTCTTTGGAGGGACATATGCTAGGAGATGGTCCTTTATCAATTCTTGCAGCAGACTTCCATAGGAGGTTGGAATGGGAGTGAATTTCTTCTCTTGTCTGCGTGACTGCCTAGATGGTTGTGAAGAGGAAGAAGGGGTAGTGAGGTTGATGGCTTTTACGCTCCCCTCTTTCTTCTTGCCAAATGACTTCTTGAATGATGCGTGGGATTTCTTAAACTTGGGAGGGAATCGAGTATTCTTGACATCGATTACCTCCTTTACATCAAAGTTTTATCCCTCTAATGCCCTTAATTTCTCTTCTAGGGAAGAAATTCGTTGCTCAGAGACCGTATTGTGGAAGCATTGCTGATACATTAGCTCCGTCAATTGCACTATTTGTTCCTTTATGACATTAAGCTCAACAGTGAGCATACGGTTCTGCTCCTCTAATTGATCCATCTTCTTGGCTTTTTTAGCGCGAGTGAGAACAAGTAGAAGACCAGCTACTTTATAAATGATTTAAAGATTTTTATTATTGTTTTTTTTTATTATTATGAATGATTAGTGTGGGATAGATATGCCTTAGATTATAGCTTTGGTGTTTTCCTAAAAGCTTATGCTTTAGGGAATACCATACCCACCTTGGTGTGATGGTTCCCTTTTTTTCAAAAAGGTTACCATCATACCTTAGCGCACTTATCTCTTCTAGGAAGGTTATAAACGTACTTGGGTCTCTTTCGCTATTATCTAAGGATATCTAATGCATCCTAGAATGAATGTGTTTATGCATGCATTACAAAAATAATTTTTATAACAGCAGATATTGAAAGTGGAATAACTTTTGACTGGGATGTCCGATTTGGACGCACAGCATTTCAAAACGAAGAGAAAAAGGTGAAGAACCAAGTTGCAAATCCCTAAAGGGGATTTGACCTAGTAATTTCCCAAAAAACGCTCCTAAGACCCTTTTTTGGGAGGTTTATTAAAATGATGTGTATGCATGCTGCATTTATTTTCTCTCTTAGTTTTACCACTTATTGGATGATGTGGTATGAATGATACGACTTTGTCGAAAATCTTTTTATTATAAAAGGCATTTTTATTGCTTTAATTTGTTTGTTTTTATATTTTGTATGACCCTTTATCTCTTCTGTCGGTCAACGTGGCTACTTAGCTTACAAAAAACCTGAAACCATGCTATCTTAACTGAAGACTGTCCGAGATAAAGGTGGTTTATCTTATCACTTTTATGATTTTTTAGAAATTTTTGTATTTTTGTCTGTTGTATGATTACCCTATGCCAATGCATCAATAAAATGCAGCAAACGAATGCACACACAATTCACTCATCCACGAGCAGAGCCACACTATTTTCGAGGTGAGGTTTTCCTGCAGAAACGTGCTTGGTTTAGGTGGTTCTAAACTGTTCTCACCAAGGCCAAAGGTCCCCAAGGTGCCCCCATTATAGGGACCTCTCAATCTCTCAGTCCTCGGGTCATGCACGAAACTCTGTGTCGACATCCTTGGACCAAAAGAAGAGAGTTATCACCTTGAGTTGGTGGTTTTCCGACAACGGTTGTAGCCCCGTGTGCCAACAAGCCGGTCGTATTTGCCACTCACTCCCTATAGGTATTCACTCTTGCCCCGGGTATAGAGGGACTGTAGTGTGCAAGGGTTTTTGTGTGCAATTTATATTTCAGACAATTTGCAGAAAATATTTATACAGCAGTTATTAAACCATACAATAAAACATACGGAAGACGGTAAATGCATAATTTCAAATCTTTACTTAGTTTGAATTTTATCCATCACTAAATGGGATCAACTCTATAGCTTCCCCAGTGGAGTCGCCATCTGTCGCCGCCGTCCGTTCTGATGTCTAGGGACATCTCGAACGTTTATGCGAGCGGTCGTGAAAAGATGGTTTAGACTCGCGTTTTATTTTTTAAAATGTGTTCATTGCTTTCGAGGTGCTCAACAACTGAACTATCCTCTAATAAAAGCAAGGTATTCGCAAAAGGGTTCTTATGGAGTCGCCACCAATGTTTTGACCGTAAACATTGGAAAATGATAAAAAGGCGTTGATTTTAATAAAAACCAAACTTGGTCATTATAACCAGAGTTAGGTAAGGGAGTTAGTTACGTGTGGGGAAGGTGTTAGCACCCCACAACGCCCCTTTCGGGTTCCCTATGACGGATTCATTCATTAAGTAAAGATTACAAGAAATTATGTTATTACCCTATTTTATTTATACAATATTTAAAAATGGCTATCTACATGATTTTATTTTACATTGCATATATAAAGTAATAAATAAAGCAATAAAAGAGAAGAGAAGTGAAAAGAACCTCCGTAGCAAGCTTTGTATTACAAATCTTTTAACTGTGAGGATGCGTTTTGGCAATCTCCCGCTCTACAAAGACTCTCCTCCCCGAATACAAGATCGACTCTACTAAATTTTAAAGAAGAATCGAATGTTGGAATACAATTCCTTAACCGATTGTTACCTTTTTAAGGCAGTCGGAGAGTTCATTCGAAGTAGGGAGAGAAGACAAGTGTCTGGGGTGTGAAAAAGTGGCAAATGAGCTTCCTATTTATAGTTTTCGCAGCCTGGCACTTTGGGACGCCCGTCTGGGGCTTGGAAAACCAAGATGGGCGTCTGGGGAGGCTGGGACGGTCGTCTGGGAGTTGGGACGGCCGTCCCAAGTGGCAAAACTGGCTGGGACGGTCGTCTGGCATGTGGGACGGCCGTCTGGGCTTGCTGGGACTGTCATCCCGACTTCTGGGACGACCATCTCGACTGTTCTGGCCAGATTTTGTATTCTGGGACTCCCGGGAAGCTTTCCTTTCCTTATTCGGAAGTCGTTTGATGCCATTGGACGTCCATCGAATGTTTATCTTCAAATAGGAAGTCTTCTTGGCCTTTATTGAGAGGCCGGGCAAAATTAGGGGTCTACAATCCAAAGTGAAGATTCAAATGTCAAAAATACAAAGTGCATTCATTTTAAATAATGTAAGAAATATTGTGTAGAACATATATTAATTTTTCTTTAAAATCTTGAACTATTATATTATGTTGGTAACATATAAAGTCTTCCTTTTGGTAGATTGTATGAGATTGGGCAGTGTCTACGGAAGATGAGACAAATGAAGTTATAAGAGAAGCTTTGATATGTTTATAGAATGAGAATGCAAACATACCGTGACTACACAATAAATATTGTGTAATCTTGTAATGTCAATGAACAAAAACTAATCATAAACCTAAACCGTGACTACACAACACACTAACCCTATCCTAAACCTAAATCAACAAGAATTAACCCTAATAATCAATTAACTAAACCTAGCACAAGGCAAACATAGTAGATGCAAGGGGAGGGATTGTACAATTGAAAGTAATGACAACCAAATGCAGCGAAAGCGGTGCGAAGCACAACCTAGAAGCAACACGCAACAACAACTCAAAATAGTGATTGTGTGATTGAGAGTAGTGAGAACGAGATGCGGGCAACAACTCAAAATAGTGATTGTGCGATTAAGAGTAGTGAGAACGAGATGAAACCAAAGCGGTGCCAAGAGATGGTCAGTGAGAGCTGACAGAAAATTGCAAGAGGAGATGCAGTCACAACAGGTAAGTGAGAGTCGATGAGTGAGAGTTCAATTGAGAATCCAGAGGGAGGGAGTGAAATGGAGACATGAAGGATAGTGAGAGCTGACAGAAAACTGCAAGAGGAGATGCAGTCACAACCAGTGAGTGAGAGTCGGTTCATGAGAGTTCAACTGAGAATCCAGAGGAAGAGAGTGAAATGGAGACATGAAGGATAAAAGAAAAGAAATTACTGTATAGTTTAATATTTTTTTATTCAATTGTTGAACGGTTGTTTAAAAATGGGTTGTCAATATATCGGTACTCTTCATTTATTTCATATTTCTCAAGTCCCTCTATACCATTCACCTGCTTCTGTTGAATATTTATTTGGCAAGCATATCAAAATTATCAATCACAATATAGTATTTTGATTAAATAAAAACCGATCCTATGAGGAACGATTTCAATGGAAATTCCAAATCATATGCTTACTAAATATATTGAAACAAAATTGAGTTTTCATAAAGATTTGGATTGAAATTAAATGGTAAAGAACGATAAATGATATTTAGAAAAGATCAAATTAAAGAACTTAGGATTAACTTCCTTCTTTTTCGCTCTTTTTTGCATAATGGCTAGGTCAAATTACGAACATCAATTAACCTAACAATATTGATGTCACCTACTCAAATCATTCACTTTGATTCCTCGCATGTGAAATTCATAAGAAAACCTGATAAATATCGACTCCTCACACAGTTAAAAGATTTTTCAGCATTAGGTTTAGGGTGTTAAGCATTTGATACATTCATTCCATTCCTAGCAATTAATGTATCAAATATTCTTACCTGATTTATGGTTTCAAGATATATTTTCCAATCATATCCTAAAAATCAAGAATAAATCATTCCAAAGCACAAAAGATAAAAATAACAACATCAAAACATAGATTAATATCTCAAAATATCACCATGATACAAAAGAGTTTCATAGAAGTGCACTCAATCCTAAGAGAATGAAGTTAGTCACTCATGGTGGTCATTACAATGCTCTAAATGAGAAAGAATTGAAGAATCCTTGAAGAACAGAACAACATTCGCGCCTTTTCTCCAAAAACCTCCAATTACATCTCAAAACGTGTCTTATCTTTTTATAGGAAAATTTGGGTTGGGTCTTGCATCATTCATTCGCTCAAGCGTTTTTATTTCTTTCAATTTTTCTTCAATTACTTCACAATTATGATCTTTGCTCTTGTATCCAGGTATTATGCAAATTCATCCTACATTGGAAGAAAAATAAATTAGAATCACTATAATTTAAGTGGTTATATCATAATTAAGAGCATAATTACATCAACTTTTACCACTTAACAACTCCCCCTAACCTAGAATCTTGTTTGTCCCCAGCAAAGTACTAATTCTTCTAAAAGAAATTCATTTCCTATTGTCACTTTCTCTTCGAGAACTCTTAATACAAAAATAATTTTCCTTCCATATATGATGTTCACAACTTCAAGTGAAAATAAGATATATGTGCATGACAGTTACAGAAACTAACAGGGAAAATTAATCATTAACTCACAACAAGAAAATCTTATATTACCGACGAATATTTACCGATGGATATATCCGATTGGTAAATGAACAATTAATTATCGTGATAAATTAATAATTAGTTACCGACTGAATATTACCGACATGATTTAAATTATTTTTAAAAATCAACATTAAATTAAAAAATTTAAATATTTAAAATTATATAATAATTACTTAATTTTAAATATATTCTAATAAACTAATTATTCACCTAATTAAAAAATTAAATACTTTTTTATTTAATAATTTAATTTAATCATAATTAGATTAATTTATAATAATTTTTAGATTAAAAAATTTTAAAAATAAATATTTAAGTATTTTTTATATTGAAAAAATTATGTTAATATAATAATTTTAATTAAATAATAGAAGAAAAAAATAAATATATAAATATATCAAAATATATAAATATATAAAAAGATAAGACGCATGGTGAGATGAAATTCAGAGGTTTTTGGAGAAGAGGCGCGACTGTTGTTCTGTTCTTCAAGGATTTTTCAATTCTTTCTCATTTTAGAGCATTGTAATGGCTACCATGAGTGGTTGACTTCATTCTCTTAGGATTGGGTACACTTCCTTGGATCTCTTTTGTGTCATGGTGATATTTTGAGATATTAATCTATGTTTTGATGTTGTTATTCTTATCTTTTGTGCCATGGAATGATTTATTCTTAATGTTTGGGATATTATTGGAAAATATATCTTGAAACCCTAGGTCATGTAAGAATATTTGCTATGTTAATTACCAGGAATGGAATGAATGTATCAAGTGTTGAACACCCTAAACCTAATGTTGGAAAATCTCTTAACTGTGTGAGGAATCAATGTTTATTAGGTTTTCTTATGAATTTCACATGCGAGGAATCAAAGTGAATGATTTGAGTAGGTGTTACCAACATTGATAGGTTAATTGATGTTCTTAATTTGACCTAGCCATTATGCAAAAGAGTGAAAAGGAAGGAAGTCAATCCTAAGTTCTTTTATTTGATATTTTCTAAATGCACCTTAATGTTCTTTGTCATTTAATTTTAATCCTAATCTTTATGAAAACCCAATTTTGTTTTAATATACTTAGTAAGCATATGATTTGGAATTTCCATTGAAACCATTCATCGTGGGATCGACTTTTATTTAATCGAAATACTATACTACGATTGATAATTTTGGTACCTTGCCAAATATTCAACAAGTATTTTTGGTGTTGTTGTCGGGGAACGGTGTTCTTAGGAAAGTCTTTTTCTAGCTTATTATTTGTTTTTTTTTATTGTTACCTTGTGTTAATTCTTATTTGAGTTGTTCTTTGATTTATGCTTTTAAGAGGACAAGTATCTACAGATCAGTTAGAATTTGATCCTAAGATTGAAAAGGCTGCTCATAGAAACCGGGGTAGAAGAAGAAGAGAAACTCAAGAACAAGCAATAGGAGAATCTGTTAATCCTTCTCCTACACTCAAATTACTAGATCCAATCATAGAAGACATGGCGGAGGAAGGAGCAAATCCAAATCCAAATCCAAATCCACCTAGAAGAACACTCAGAGACTATGCTATGCAGCAAGGTCAGAGACACTTCTCCAGCATTACAATACCAGCCAACCAAACATTGGAGATGAAGCTAACTTTCTTAAGTTTGATTAATGCTCATCAATTTACTGGATTGAATCATGAAGATCCCTACATTCACTTGTCTACTTTTTATGAGTTGATTGGTACCATGGGATTTAGAGAAGCAGATATTGAATCTGCATACTTGAGAATATTTCCTTTTTCATTGGCTAGCAGGGCAAAGGAGTGGTTGTGGCTGCCGTCAAAATAGGCGGTCGGAGCGACACGATGATTTTGATCGACTCGCATTTTTTAAAGATGATCAACATTCTTAAGATGTCAGATAACCTGTTAAATATACAAGGATATGAAACTTGAAGATTTTGATGATGATTCAAGAACAAAGGACTTAAAGACTTGAAGACTTAGAATCATGTGTAGCCAGCACATAGTCCATTATATGAAAACTCATTTTTATCAAATCCACTCTGTGATAATCGATGATCACTTAGAATAATCGATTATCCTGCACTGAAAAATTGTTTTTTTGAAAATCTTGCTGTGATAATTGATTATCACTCAGGATAATCGATTATCCCAGCTAGATAATCGATTATTTACATAGATAATCGATTATCCTGGTCCTGTTTTACTCCTCTGCGAAAATGGCTCTATAATAATTGATTATCACTCAAGATAATCAATTATCTATGTCTGTTATGAGTTTTGAAATTCAAATCTGGACCAATTTACGAAAACCCTATTCCCAATTCTTATGTTTTCGAAAATCATTATTTCCCAGACCCTATTCTCCCTACTTAAGGTTCTCTAAGACTCTCTGCAAAATAACAATCCTTTTTCACACAAAATTTAAGAGTTGTGATTGCTAGAGAACTTTGTAGGGAAGAAAAATGGGCTTTTGAAAACCTAGTATGAGCTAGAAGCGATAAGAATCACTGAGTGAGTTTCTTGGTGGATTGTGTGTTGTGTTGTCTCTAGGAAAAGTTGTTGTTCATCCTTTGTGGATTCAAAGGAGGTGTTCATCTCTTGTGTGACTCAAGAGAGGTGTTTTCTATTCCTTATCTTTTTCAATTTGTAATATGTTGTAACTTGTGATTATAGTGATAGTGCTAATCCTCTTTTAGAGTGATTAACAACTAGACGTAAGGTCTTTTGATCCGAACCAATATAAATCATCTGTGTAATCTTCTTTCCCTTATCTCTTTACTTTACAAGCATTTTAATCTGTGAAATTTGGGAAAAATTTCAAAACCCTAATTTTTATAAGAAACCAATTCACCTCCCTCTGGGTTTTTGTCCCTAAACGCGAATATTTCGCTGCGTGATTCTAACAATAACCATGTTATTCTTAAGAATGAGGTTTTCAAAAAGGGTTCTATGGAGTCGCCACTGATGTTTTTACCGAAAACATTAAAAAAGAAAAAAAAAAGGCATTGGTTTTAAGAAAAAACAACTTTGATCATTACAACCAGAGTTAGGTAAGGGAGTTAGTTACGTGCAGGGAAGGTATTAGCTTCCCCACGACGCCCCTTTCGGGTTCCCTATGATGGACTGTTATTTTTTAAAATAAGAACATTAAAATTATGCTTTTACCCTTATTTATTCATTACAAAATTTAAATTATTGACTACATGGTCCTAATAACTAATGCATAGAGATGATAACTAATAAAAGCGATAAAATAGAGTAAGGGATATAGAGGAACCTTCGAAGCAAGCTTTTATAAACACTCTTGTAAAGGGCGCTTTTTGGCAAACCCCGTACTCTACATAGACACTCCTTTCTTGAATCGAAACTCGCCTAAACAAGCTAGAATTGGACTCTTGAAGTAGAAACAACAAGTAAACGAACTATCGGAGTAATAATTATGTGATTTCTAGGAGTTTCTGTGTTTTTCTGTGTGTTTTCCTCCTTGAACGAAGGTTCTATTTATAGAAATTTGTGTCCGTCAGACTGGGAAGGTCGTTTCGTCTGACAAGATCGAGACGACCGTCTCGCCATTCGGGACCACTGTCTCGA